TGAGATTTACCCCATTACAAAACTGTTTTAAAATTATATTAGCTATGACTGTATGCATATCGCACCTTTTTGAGTACAGAAAATAAATATTCGATATATGATTTTTTTTCTACTTTTGTCTAGATACATTTTAACAGATAAGGTGATCACTTCTAATAAAGCAACAACAAGTGCAACAGCTAAAGATCCACGTTGACGTTTTTTTAATATTCTGTTACTTGAACACAATTTGTTTTTCAGTAAACAACTTTATTCTTCATCTCTGATCAGGTTCTACAATGATAACATTTAAAAGAATAATTATAAAGAGATACACTAGAATGGATTTTTTTTTTAAATCGGTTGAAGAAAATAAAGGCAGAAATTCTTTACTTGCTATCACTGGTGCCTATTCAGAGAAACATTTTAATTTCCCCAACAAAGAATCCCAGCTGTGTTTCAAGACCATATGCTTTTCTGAGGTCAAGCCTCTTTTTACCAATCCTCTGGTACTTCAGCTGAAGGCCTTGTTGGTAAGAGCGCAGTTAATAGATTTTCTTTTCTAAGCTTTTGTCATCCAACATTATTATGGATTCTAAATTCTTGCTGGGGCTCTTTTGTATTGAGGGTTTATGGGAAAAGAATATACAAAAATCTCTTCCCTTAAACCTGGCCTTCAGCAGAAATCTAATTTTATCAGTTCTCTAAGCAAGCTACAGCCCATTTCATACAACATTGGAACAATTCCAGCGTAACAACGGTAACAGGTAATTTTAAGAGTTGGAAACATCCAAAGATTTCAATGTCACTCTACATTTCCATTTTCACTTTTTATACCTAACTAAAACACAACCTTTCATTTGACTACAGTATTTTTATCATTTATCATAACTGTGTTAATTCTTAGATTTTGTCATTATCATAATAATAATGAATAAAGTATGAGGTTTCTCTGAAAGAAACTGAATTTTGTAACGATCTTATTTCTTCCATTTTCAAAACACCACCTCATACTATTTCAACAAACTGGATTTCTTTCCAGGGTCCAAGGCCATTCTTTAAGAGGATTCTTGCATTATTGGAATACTTCCACACTACAAGCAAAAATTATATACACTTTTGACTGTGTACAAATGATTTAGACATACTTGCTGTGTGAAAACAGTTACAAAAAGATGAAAGTTATAAGAGACACAAAACACATCTGACATCCATACCTGACTCAAGACAAACTGCAAAATCACTCATCTGAAGTATATTTAAGTCATTTTTGCCTGTCTTCCAGAAACAAGCAAGCCACAAAAAGAAAACTATATATCCCAACGCTACAAGAACACAAAATCAATGTTATATGTAGAAGGAATAACTACACCAGCTAGTATAACATGAGATTTTTACACTGATTAAAGGATTGTAATTTAGGTCTTAATACTGGCACTGGATTCACATCTGACACTGGAGCCACGGGGATTATATCTTGAATGAGAGCTCTCTAAGAAAATGTCATCTTACCATATCTATAATTGTACTTAACAGAATAATATAAAAAATAAATATACCGAATACATGTATTTATAATACATGATAGCAGATGTACTGATCACAAAGTCTTCAGAATTAGTTGTGTTAGAATCACTGAATCTGCAAAACTCAGTATGTCAGAGAACTGGACTGAAAATGGACAGATGGATGGAACAATTTATATTTGGGGAGTCCAAAGTTAAAACCCAGGTGAGTCAATGGATCAACTTTAAGCTAAACTTTTGAGAAAAGTCCAGGGACAGTGATGCAGTGCTGCTGTTGAATACACTTTAGTTACAGCTCTCGTTAGCTTTTTCTGCTAAGTGACAACTTTCTTGGGACTAAGCAAAGAGTTCTGATTGTTTTGCTTCCACATGCATTTATTAGACCTCTGGCTCCCACAAGCATGGCAGAGCTCTGCAATCCCTGTAGTGTGTTATACACACACTGAACCGCAGAATCAAATTTGCTTTACTCACAGCTGCGAACATTCTTTTGGGAACCCAGCAGTGGAGAGCAGCTCAACCGTTTAATGTAATTAATAAATGCATCCATGTATTAGTAATGTAATTGGAGCATTGTTTTTGCTTTGCAATCTGATTCTCAAAGACTCAGACTGCATGAAACAGACTGCCTGCTGCCACTGTATTCCACCATTTTGGTACCAAGTAATGAGCTTTTTTATTTAGTGCTATGATGCACATTAAGACAAAGAATTTCAAGGCTCATAATATGAATACAGATAGACTATAAAAGCATACCACAAGAAAGCAGTATGAAGCTAAACTCTTTGGATGACAAATGTGAATAACTAGTTACTGCAGAAAATGTAAAAACTACTTTCTTCACTGAGCATTTATATTCAAATAGCTGATTACAAACACTGCACAGCCTACTATACTGAGCAAAGTAATAATTTCAACATTGAGAATCCAGTAAGAGGATTGCTTTACTTAGCAGAGGATTCAAGAGTTTTTCCTGTAATAATAAATCCAATTCTTTCCCTGAATAAAAAAAACATAGCTAGGCAACAACTCTGACTAATACTGAATTTACGATAGCAATAAAACAATTAATAAACTAAGTGACAAACAAATGCCCTGTTTCAAGGTGATTTTCAGCAGTTCAAGTGACTGTGACATAAATTATAAAGCTTCATGTTTTGTTGCTTATACTGTACACTTAGAGAGTGCCATCCAACCATTGAATGTAAATTGCTTTCCTGCACACTCCATGCAGGTTAATTTGATGGAGTTTAGTTTATTCTACCAGCGGAGGTTCAGCCTATCATGATCCTTCTTAAAGACTGTTTTTATTAAGTATACAAGCATAAGCATCAGAAAAAAATATCTTAACACCAAAAAAATCCAATAGGTTCTATTCATAAAGGTCTAATAATGGAAGACAAGCACATGCTGTATGAAAGGATTTCAACTACAACCACTGGTTTCATGGAAGCTGTGATTTATAAAGGACAAGAGAAATGTCATTAAGTCCTAACACCATTCAACTATACAGCCACATTTTAAACAAGCCGAGGTAAAGGTTAGCAAAACACTTATTCAGAAATGTTTACATCGGTGCGGAACACTTAAATGCTAATGGGCAACATAAATGGCAGGAAAATGCTGACGATAACTGTAGATTTTTGAATACTACATTGAGTGAATCTAAACTGATAACCTTGCAGTTCTTGCCACTAATAAAAAACATTTTAAAAAAAGCATAACGAGTTAAAAGATAAGGAGAACATAGTTAAAATAGTATCACACTTCTAGACTATGCGGGTTCAAGTACAGTACCACTGTAATGGAATAAAATTATTCTCGAGAAGTGTTATTCATTTGGTAATTTGTATATTGAATATAGCACAGATCTCCCCCAACTTACTAAATGATCACAGCTAAAGGTACCGGACACAAAAATGGGAACACTACTGTAAATGTAAGGTCACCTAAAGTTACTTAACAGGGCACTGGACAACCACATGCAGCCAACATAGCCTGGATGCTACATGGCACAGAGTCTGCCAGAGTCTGGATTTCTGCAGGAGTGATGTGGCACCAAGCAGCTCAAACCTGGCTGACGGAAGTAAAAAATGTTGTCTCGGGCATTGCTCCATAATATCTCAGGAATATTTGATTGGGGTCAGATTGGTGAAGGAAAACATGACATGACACTGATAACATCATTTTCTCTGCGGCTGGGGACCGTGTCATCTTGGAAGACACCCCTCCCAGCACGAAAGAAATGCTGTGACAGGGGGTGACGATGATCGCTTAGAACCATTGAGGACCTTGTCTTCGAAGGGACTGAGAGAAAAGGAAAAGAAAATGAACCCCGTAACATTACAGAACCACCAGAACCCTTCGGTATTGGAGCCAAGCACCCAGGGCCATTGAAGTTGTCAAGCTGGTGCCAGATGTGCTCTTGTCCATTTGTCAAGAACATGGAAAAGAGGACTTGACTGATCAGGCCACACTTCACCACATAACTTTTAACAGTTTATTAAAATGTCCCTACGGGATTAATAAAGTATTATCTATCTACAATTCTACAAGGCCCTTAGCTTCTAAATCTCTCTTTCGACATCACACAGTCATAACTACCCATTTCATGAGAGAATAAGGTTAAATACTTTCCTTTTATCAAAATGTGTTTTTACTATTTTTTTATAAAGAATTTGTTGACATATATAAAACAATTTCCTCTAACAATACAAATGCATCAGCTTCCAATCAACAGATTAAAAATCTTTTGTGCCCTTTTAAGATGTATCAGGTCATTAGTCCCAAATTTAAATATCACCATTTCATCTAAACTGTGTTAATAAAGTACTAATAAAATACTTAGATAAAACAGTTTTAAAAAATAATTTCTCCATATGAAATGACCACTGACAAAACTTCTTTACTTCTGGTAAGCAAGTGAATATATATATTATGCTGTTTTGAAAATTGACAATTTTGAGAGCCTCTTAATGTATTTCTGACATCTGGAAAATGGGTACAGCAAACTCACAGAGCATGTAGTTATACTGACTCTTCAAGGTTCATAAAGATTTAAACTTCTATGAATAGATAAACAAGATTTTTAATATTTTAAAGCTATTTTCTTATATGCAGAAATAAGCAATACTTAGGTTTGTTAACAAAATACCCAAATTCAAGGTATACACCCTTCTCTCTAAGCATCTGTCAGGTCCTGTCTGAAGCACAAAGCAGAGTTCCCTATTACTACTGTGGGCGAGCCCGTCCCTCTTATGTGTCACCGATATTATTCTTGTGTCAAGCCCGCTTATTTAAATATAGTAGACATTTGTTACACGTACAGTAAATTTTAAGTTTATTACAATAGTAAAAACACCTCGGTGCTTTTAAACTGCTACTAGGTTCAACAGCTTTGACCTTCTCTGAATCACATTCCTCGAACCTGCTACATTATTGACCAGATAATTCTTTATAATATTTTCCCAGATGTAGAAATGTAAATAATTTTACCGGAGGATGCCTTTGCTGAATGCTTCTGAAGAAAATCCACTGTCTGAGCAAGAACTTTTTTGTTACAGTGTGTTGATAATTCCTCATTACATTCATAGCACCTGTATTGGAGAAAAATATTTGGTTACAGTTGTTGCTTGTTACCAGAAAACCTTTATTCAAACATTTGGAATAAAAAAACAAACTGGTTTTTCAGTCCTAAATAGCGTTACACATTAAAACGATTTATAACACCATGATTCGACAAAAATATAAACCAAAAATAAGCAATTGTAACATATTTCTTACCATGCTTTCCATGTGCTAAGGCTCATTACAATACAGTGGGATTCTGCATGTACAGCCTGAAAGTGTTTAGTGGAGTGCTGTCCATCAGACTGGTTACACCCCTGGTGTACAAAAAAAATTAAAAACATTACAAATGATTCCACAATGTCATACTTTAAAAAGTGTTGGGAAAGATGTCCGTGAATTACAGTCTTCTGATTTGGTAATCAAGTGGAGATTTACTTTTAAAAAGCAAACTCTCGTACAACCACTTTGTATAACCTACCTAATTACGATGGCTTGATAAAAGAGAGAAAAAACAGAAAAATGCCACTTCCGTTTCTTTCACGCTCTGGTTTTAAACATTATCCATTACCAGTCTCTCAAAGCGTGACTGGATTTTGCGTAAATTAATGGCAATTTGCACTGAATGTATTTGCCTGGTGTACTTAGTGAAATCGAATGCAATGACATAACAGGCAACAGACTGCTATAATTAATGCTGCCAGCACACTGACTCATGTAACCAAGGCCTTAGTCTGCTTTGTAACTAATATATTACAGTCCCCTTGCTGCACTGTATTTCAAAACCAGATGGTCAACTTGCCAGTGCAAAACATACATAAAGCACTGTCTTAGTGCACTCTACCTTCTTTTATTTGAGTCCCACCTAGAGATTTCCTGGTTATAATATATGTGCTTTAGGAGAAGGGACTGTAAATGCTGAATCTCAGCTGTATGTTTTTAATAATATACTATGAAATAATAAATAATATATTCCTGACGACCTTATAAGGACCAATCTGGAGATTAATTGTGATAAAATGTCCTAGTTTACTATTTGTGTCAAATCCAAAGGCAAAACCTGGAAACTTCAGCAAAGCAAAAGACTGCACTCAGAAAGCAAAAAGCAATAAGGCTTAGATATTTACAATTTATTGCTGCTATTGTAATTATCAGACGACTAAACACCAGAATCCCTTACCTGAAAACCACATTTGAGACACACCAAAATATCAAAAGGGCCTGCAGGCTCTCCATCATAGACTGTCCTTTCCTTAAGACACTCTGAACAAACCGACCACAGGTTTTGTGAAACTGCTTTCTTCACAGAGCTCAAATCAACTGCTTTGCTCACATGCTGACATGTCATCCCTGATGAATAAGAAAGAAAGGAAATCCATGAAAAAGTGCAACATTAACCTGAGAACCATGTCAAGGTCAGGAAACAGAAAACACGGCACAGAGATAAGAAAATGATGCATGAAATGCTTGTTTCAGTGGTGACCCATTTAATTGTACAAAAATGTACAATTTATTCTCAATTTGGAATCAGTTTTGATTGAATTGCAGTTTTGCTTTTTTTTCCCCATGTATTCCATCCTACAAAAAAAAGAACATCTTTTCTGACAAAATGTTCAACGAGCAATAAGAAAAATGTGTCAATCACTAAAAGCAGTAAGATGTATTTTGTTAAACTAAGAATAGTGGGTTTGCATTTTGCCCAGCTGTGATGAGGAGAGAAATGCTTAAGCCTTACCACTGACTTCATCTGAGGACTCTTCCTCTCTAGGCTTTCTTGGCCTGTTTGACCGCTTTGTCATTTCGGAAGCTTTTAAAGAGAATGGATCTTTTAACCGCATCTGTACCTGCAAAACAAAAAACAAAAAAAAACACAAGGAGCAGTTAAAAACGTTCACCCCCCTGTCAGCATTAAAAAAATTCCAAGAGTGAAACTGCCTGATGAGGATGTTATGAGCTAAATCAGTTTATATACCTGTATTAGAGAACAACCCAATTAAACCTTAAACAGTAAAAGATATTTTATGAATGTAAGAACAATTATGGAAGCGATAAAGTGTAACATACTTAAAACTAAGTGGAGAGAAACATGATCTATAAGACAACATATCATGCAATACTATTAGAGTATTTTGTGTTCATACAATAGTACTGTATTCTTTGTTGCAATAGGACATTTTATCACAGTAATGTAATGTTAATGTATATATTACAGTAAGAAAACTAAATTGTACTATAACATTAAAATATTCACTCCTTATTTCTCTTGAGTCAAACAGTACACTCAAGTTATTTTAACCTTGCAACTATTTATGGGAGGGATGTCAGGCTATACATATCCTGCCTTCATATTAAGGCTAAGTTTACTTTGATGAACCTTGGAATAAATCTGACGAGATTCACTTCTTGAATATCTTTGGGATAACAAAACTTTGCATTTAATGCAAATTACATAACTATGTTTACTACATAACTATATCTTAACATGAGTGTTCCTTCTGTTAAAGACTACAGGTAGAGGGCAAAAAAACGTCAACAGCTGGGTTAATGAGGGGCACCATGTATACTTAAAGCCAGGATTTCCACATACAATAGGTGCGGCTCACGTGCTAATTAAGCAGGTAACATCCCAGCATTCTAAGGGTATACATTAAGATGGGTGCCAGTACGGCTAAGGTATGCCATATACAGTACAGTTGTATGCAAACGTTTTGGGACCCCTGGCCAAATTACGTTTTGTTGGTTTTCAAAGTGAAAAGAAGTTAGCACAACCTCTGCAGCGAACAAACTTAAACTCGACATATTTCTGCAAATGTTAATGCAATGTTACTATTTATTTTCTGAATTGAACAGATTGAAAAAAAATAAAACAGCAAAAGTGGCATGTGCAAAAGTTTTGGCACCCTATCAGTCAGTTTAGTAACACCCCCTTTGGCAGAAATCACAGCCTCCAAACATTTCTTGTAGCCAGCTAACAGTCTTTCTATTTTTGCTTTAGAATTTTTTCCTTTAGAATGCTTCTAGTTCATAAATATTCTTAGGTCATCTTGCATGCACTGCATGTTTGAGATCTATCCACAGATTTTCAATAATATTCAAGTCTGGGGATCCTGAAGGCAATTCCAAAATCTTAATCCTTCGTTTCTTGATGTTCATTGTTGATTCTGAAGTATGTTTTGGATCACTGTCTTGTTGTTATATCTAACCTCTTTTCAGCTTCAGTTTCTTCACTGCCTGTGGGACATTAGCTTCCAGGATTTGTTCAAACTTAGTAGAATCCATTCTTCCCTCTATCTGCACAATATTTCCTGCGCCACTGGCTGCCACATAGACCCAAAGCATAATAGATCCACCCCCATGTCTAACAGTTGGCAAGGTGTTCTCTTCTTGAAATGCTTCTCCTTTTTTTCTCCAAACATACCTTTGGTTATTGTAGCCAAAGAGCTCAATTTTTACTTCAACAGACCACAGCACTTGGTTCCAAAACGCCTCTGGCTTATGTAAGTGTTGTGTTGCATAATTCAGACGTTGACTCTTGTTATGAGATCGCAGGTAAGGTTTCCTTCTGATGACTCTTCCATGCAGATCATGTTTGTGCAAGCAAAGCTGCACAGTGGACTCGTGCACCTCTACTCCCATGACAGCTACAGCTTCCAGCAGGTCCTTTGCAGTGATATGCGGGTTTTATTTTTCATTCCTGACTGGCTACGAGCAGTTCTATCGGAGCTTTTTCTTGGTTTTCCAGACCTTGTCTTGTCTTCAACAGTTCCCCTTAACTTCCATTTTTTAAATGACATTTCAGACAGTGAAAATTGAAAGCAGGAACCGTTTAGATATCTTTTTATAGCCTTCCCCTGCTTTGTAAGAGTCGATCATCTTTATTTTCTGATCCTTGGTCAGCTGCTTAGTGGAGGCCATGGCTGTGGAGTGTAAACACAACACCCTGAGAGGTTTGAAGAGTCAGAGAATTTCTGAAGCTCTGGACTTGTCATCACCCGACTTAGATTAAGGCCTAACGAGTCATTTACATTCTGAGACTTCACAAAAAATAACACTAGTGGGTCAACTTTTGCTTTTGCGCATGCCACATTTACTGTTTTTTTCAATCTGTTAAATGTTTTAAATAAATAGTAACTGTGCATTAATAATTGCAGAAACATCTCAAGTTTATGTTTGTTCACTGCAGAGGTTGTGTTAACTTCTTTTCACTTAGAAAATCATCAAAACATGTAGTTTGGTGCACAAACTTTTGCATTAAACTGTAAGCCTGGTACTGTATGCTTATGGCTCATATGGCAACAGGAAAAGAGGACTTTATAAGAGGAGTGATTGCTGAGGCAAATTCGGCAGGAGCTTCACTGATCATGACATCTCAATCTGCTGATGTTTCAAGGAGCCACCACGTCTAAGATGAGAGCAGAGTAATGAAGCCAATTCATAGATTCATAGTTATATGGCAAAAGCCACAATACAAAGCAGATCAGGTGAGTAAATGCCAAATTACTTCACTAATCCAATCAATGGTGAAATGTTTGTGCCAGCCCAGTGTCCCCAGTCACCATACTGGAAGAGCAGATGGCAAATCTCAGTCCAAAAGAAAGAGTGCCACCTAGGTGTCCACCAGAACCACATGAGCAAACACCTGCTTTTTTTTATAATGGGGATCTCCCATCCCAGTGCTAGCCTGACTCAGCCTTACTGATAGGTGATAGTGCTTTTTTGAATAAACTGAAGGCCCTCCTTAACTAATCTTATTGGCTTTGATTCGCACACAGTTTTCTTACCAAAACAAAAGCAATACTGCTTTGAGGTGTCTTGACATGAGGCGTTATATAAAACTATAATTAGTATCTTCCAGTGCAACTGCAAAAACATCTAACCATAGTTCGGATTATTCGCCAATTAAAAACTTCACAATGTTAAGGCTGCATAGGCCTTCTTCCATTACAGCACACAACTATAAGCTTAATATCATATGAAAAATTGAAAAACGTCAAGCTCCCTCATCAGAGGCAACTACAACAACCCAGGGACCAACAGACTTTTATTGAACTTTTCTGAATTTCAGAGAAAACCGTAATACCTCCAGGGTACGGTAATTGCGAAGTTACAGTAAATGGAAGCCTTCCGTCACTTCTATTTTGATGTTGTACAATAAAGTCTTATAACGCACAACGTACAAACTACAATGAAAAGAAAGGAAATTCCATTAAAATAAATCAAATTACACAGACCTGGCTAGCGAACTAATAGACATTTCGAAAACGACTTACCTTTATGGTATGTAGTTAGTGGCTCTGAAACCTGAACAATTTGTTTGCCGTTTATTGTAGAAAAGCTCAAAATACAATTCTTGCTTCTGTGTGCTTTTAACTTCGAGAATATTCTTAACAATCACAACAACACACTGACATACAAGCATTTCCTAACCCCGAGAAACAGGAGCTCAGACGGTCACGTGCAGAGACCTCAAAACATTTCGCCCTACGGAAGCCCAGTTGGGTTAAACGCAGCGGGGCCGTTGCTCGAACTTCTCGAGGGCCAGACATTCTGCTGATGATAGCACACTACGAGTTCAGCTTGAAAGAGAGTGACACAAATCACTTTGGTGAAAGTAATAATATTATACGGCCCCTTATTTCAGAATTGTATAAGGAACGGAAGTAAACGACCAAACTGCCCAGGTGCAATTTACTAAGGGCAAAGTTTGGTCTAGATGTTATTAGAGCTTTTCGGTACGGTTGGCTGTTTATTGCCATATTCTTCTGGGCGTGGTTTGTTCTTATCTGGTATTCACGTCTTGGAAAACTTAAGTGTTTGTGCTTAGTGCTTCTTTATTTTTAGCATTGTGGTGTTCAACACTTTAGAAGCACAAAACAGAACCAAAAAAATGCAGTTTACGTTCGCAGAACAATTAAGTCTCTGCTGTAAGAAGTTGAAAAATGTATGGATGTATAAAGTTGTATTGCCTTGCGATGCGCTGGCGTCCAGTGCTGTGTAAAATCCCACCTAGCGCCCTGTGCAAAGTTGCAACGTGGTTGATGCGACAACTCTCCCAAGAGCGCCTGCCTGCTTGCTCATAATGTCCGGAAGGCTTTTTCTATGAAATGGCAATCCTTTATGCAATCGCGTGTTTCCGAAAACGATGAAGAGGCGGTTTTAGTGGAAAACGTTTAAGTGTAAGCATTGTTTTATCGAAAGCAGGACCTCCTGGAAGTGTGTACCGCGTCTTTATTTACTGCAACACAGCGACGCCCACACGAGCGCAGCGGCTCGGGCTGCACCAGCGCGCACGCGCCGTGTGCAGGGCAGGTGACCCCTTCCCTATCGCAGGATAAGCAGTATTTGTGCGACTGAAGTTTTCAATTTTTTTCCCCCCCACGTTCGAAAATATTTTCGAAATGTCGGCAATTGGGGGTCTGCGGCTGAAGGAAATCATTCCTAGAATTTTATTGTATAGGAATGCTGCAACTCGGGACTTTTCTTGTGCTTGCAGACAATCACTTCTGCTCGCGAAGAATCCGGCGAAGACGTCCTCGACCTATCTGATATGTGAGTGTGAAACAGTTTCTGAAAAGCCATGGTTTTGTAATCATTAGTAGTGTTTGGTTGCTTTTTAACATTTCGAAGTCAATCCGCAACTACAGTATTAGCGACTGAAACCAAGTCTCTCTGGTCGTAACTGATTCTACAGTATGCTTGCGAAGACCTGTTTAACTGTGTGTTGCATGACCAAACTAATCTTCCTGAGTTTCTGTAGATGTTTTAGGTTCCACTTATAAGAGGATTCCACAAATTACATCAAAGCAGAAGTGATCTCGACTTCATTGAGAGCTCTGGGCTGATAACCTAACTTGGTTTCTAGTTTCCCGTCAGAGAGATCCTGTCTTCCGCACTTGTAGTACTGCGACCAACGTAGATGTGTCCTATGAAAAGTTGAAGCAGCTGCTCGCAGCCAGAGACGGGGTTGTGGTTATTGATGTCAGAGAACCGTGGGAACTCAGAGAATATGGGCAGATCCCTGGGTCAGTAAATGTTCCCTGTAAGTAGGCGCGGAGTGTTTTTGTTTGCTTTTACCTACGATTGGTTTTGTAGTCATCCGTCACTCGCTAGTAATCACATTTCTGTGGACTAGTTAATTTTTAGCAATAAGTAATAGTTTTGTTCCATGCTGAAAAGAAAAGAAAACACGACGTTTCGGCCGCAGAGCCTTCTCTGATGCTCCACTGCCGAAACGTTGTTTTCTTTCTTACAGTATTATCCAGAGATAGTATGGTCATGTATCTTGTCTGCATGCAATCAATGCAGACTCGTTTTATTATTTTATTTGAGGGAGGTCAAAACATCCTCCCCAGCAGTCTTGCAGTGATGTCATCGTCTCCTTCCCCGAGGTGAAAGATACACAGTAACCACTCTCCTGATTTGTTCTTCACAGTGGGACAGGTTGACCAGGCCCTGAAACTGGACCCTAAAGAGTTCAAGGAGAAATATGGTTCAGCTATGCCATCACAGTCTGAGAACATTATCTTTTCCTGCCTTGCTGGCGTTAGAAGCAAAAAAGCCCTGGACATAGCTGTGTCTTTAGGATATTCCAAGTGAGCGTCTTTTTGTTACTAGGAAATGAAAAGTCCATTCTCATTTGTAGAACAAATAAACAAGTGTATGTCCTCACGAGAATCATTAGATTTGTAAAGTACTTCCACACTTTAGATCAGCTCTTAAAACTGTATATATAATTTATAACTATTTTATGCAACTAATTGTGAATTTAAGTGCTTTGGACAAATTAAGACCTGTCTTTTTGGAAAGGGTGACAGTTTATCATCTCACTTTGAATTATATATATAACAATGTCTATGGCTTAATAAAAAACAAACATCATAAAAGATATTTTAAAATCCTAAATACATTTCTGCAGTGAGATGACAAAATGACAAATTGCCCAAACTTTTTTAAAATGAATTCCTTTAAAATCATTTCAGAAATATCTGTTTATCATTGCTCCCTGAAGATGCCAGAATGTTTCCAGGAAGTGATGGAAATTTACGTTTATTTGCTTGAAAATGCTACAAATAATTTATTTTCACTATTGGAAGAATCTAAATTAATTAATGTATAAATGGGTGCTAATGATAACATGTAATATCTGGTTTCTCAAGCAAAAAACAGTCAATCAAAAAAGCATTACTGTACATATTGTTCTTTTTTTTACCTTAACTGGCAAATACGTCTGGAAATTACGATTCATAGGCTAAAAAAGATTTGCATTGCATGTTACTAGATCTGCACCTTTGAAAATTAATAAGAATTATGGAGTACATTTACCTAGATGAATAACCCTGTATTTTAAGCATTTGAAATGAGACATAGAAATGTTTAAATTCATTATCTCATTCATCAGCGTGCTATCTAACATTCTAAGATGGAAATTGCTAAATCTTTTAAGTTGCTGAAAATAATTTTTATTATTATTTATTTCCTTGCAGTGTGCAGCATTATCCTGGAGGCTGGGAAGAATGGGTGAAGAATGAATTGCTGCACAGGAAAAACTAAGGACTTTATCACTGAAAGGAGTTTTACAGTATTGTATATTGGTTTGAAACCACCATCTGAAAAAATCAAATTTAAGAAAAACATTTAATGATTGATTCCATGAAAAATGCCTCCTGTTTACATCCAATTTAAGAAGAAGCATGGTCTGTATTAATGATCTCTATTCCAAAGTTGGTTTTGTGCATGTGCAAAGCTTGATCTTTCTGAAAGAAAAATGGCTTTACAGTTCAGGTATTACAGTGGGGCTGCGTTCTAGAAATTGCCCTTTAATCATTGGCTGTCCATAGATGATATGGAAGAAAAACCGTCCTCAGATTATCACCCAGTGAAAGGTGACATTGTAAAAGCGTTGAATCAATTGAAGGAGTTGAAAAGATTTCTTGGTATCTTTCAATACAAGGTTATAGCATTTCCTTGTTCTGTGTCCCTGTAATCAATTACATTATTTTTTTTACATTTTTGCTTTTATGCTTTACATTTAGTATCTGTATACACGTGTCCCCATATATATAAAGGTTAATTTAAAATCTGTGATAGTTAACCGTTAAGGAGCATTTTTGTATTCTTGGACTTTTCACATTAGTTAAGTGTGGTCATGTCCTCTTGTTGTTGATACCCAGAACTGTGTGTATGTGCATCTGTCTTTTGCATTGCCATTTTCTGTGGTTACTGCTGAAGATGCCACATTATAAAATGTACATAATTGTACTATTAAGGTAACTTTTTTCTATTGAGTAAACAAAACAGGTTTATGCAAAAATATTAAGAAAATACCTCAATTTTTTTTTATTAATTTAATCGCATTTGAGAATGCATGAGAAATATCCATTGGTTTATGTATATTAAAATTATTAATGGAGATTCATGGCTACCACCATTATAGGAATTCCCAGCTTTATACAATTTACAGATTAACCATAAGACAAGTGTATAGCAAGGACACGTGGTCATGTTCTGCTGCTGTCTATTAATAGACATTAAGTGCTGTATCCATACGTTTTTATATTGACAGAACAAGAGAATTCATATTCTTGTGGATGCATCACTCTTATTAAAAGTGAGAAATTTACCATGTCTTAGAAAGTCAAGAAAGGCAAAATTACTAAATTTCACCCGCTAACCAACATTCTTAAAAAATATTGTGCATTGATTAGAGATATAGCGGAGTAACAGAAGGCTCAGAAACAGCAATAGTCAAATAAAACAGTTTAAATAAGATTGTATCTATTGTGCATATTCTAAAGTCATACAGTGACGTGAAAATGGATTTGCCCCCTTCCTGATTTCCTCTATTATTGTATATTTTTTACACTGAATGTTTGCAGATCTTTAACCAAAATCTATTATTAGATAAAAGGAACCTGAGTGAACAAATAACATTTTACTTATTTCATTTATTTAATGAACAAAGTTATCCAACGCCATTTGGCACTGTGAAAAAGTAATTGATTAAATCAATCAAATTAAAGGGATAATTAGTCAGCTGATTGAACTCAGCCAGGCTTGATTACAGCCAGCCCTGCTCAAGATAAACCTCACTTATTTTGACCCTTACCATCACCATCACAGTCAAGTTGCCAGCACAAAGATTCAACAAGCACATTAGGCCACGATCAAAGAATAAATGATAATGATAATGTTGCTTTATTAACCCTGTACAATTTATTGCATAAGAATTCATATTTTCCGCATACCCCAACTTGCTCTCCATGAGACACAGACAGGGAGAGAAGCTTGGGGTCAGAGCGCAGGGTCAGCCATTGTACAGCGGCCTGGAGCAGTTGGGGTTGTGGGCCTTGCTCAGGGGCCCCAACGGAGTAGGATTCCTCTGCCCGCTGTGGGATTTATACCGGCAACCTTCCAGTCACAGGAGCAGATCCTTAGCCACAGAGCCACCACTCCGCCTGTATTTCTTCAGGAAATTCCTGAAGAGATCAGAAAAAACGTTGCTTATATCTATCAGTGTGGAAAGGGTTACAAAGCCATTTCTAAGGCTTTGGGAGTCCACCGAACCACAGAGAGAGACAAACTCCAAAGGGAGAACACTTGGAACAGTAGTGAAATTTCCCAAGAGTGGTTGGCCTGCCAATATTTCTCCAAGGGCACAGTAAAATCATCCAAGAAGTCAGAAAAGATCCTAAAAAAAAAAAGCAAAGAACTGCAGGCTTCTCTTGCCTCAGCTAAGGTCAGTGTTCATGACTCCACAATCGGAAAGAAACTGGGCAAAAATAGGCTTCATGGGAGAGTAGCAAGGTGGAAACCACTGCTAAACAAGAACATAAATACTCGTCTCTCATTTGCCAAGAAGCACCCAGATGATCCCCAAGCCTTTTGGAAGAATGTTCTATGGACAGATGAGTCAAAAGTGGAACTTTTTGGACGTCCCATTATGTCCGGCGTAAAGCAAACAGCATTTCACAGTAGGAACATCATACCAGCAAACATAGTGGTGGTAGTGTGATGGCACTGGGATGCTTTGCTGCCTCAGAACCTGGACGACTTGCCGTAATTGAAGGAACCATAAATTCTGCTCCCCATCACAAATTCTTAAGGAGAATGTCTGGTAATCAGTCTGTCAGCTGAAGCTGTAGCATAGTTGGTTCATGTAGCCAGACAATGATCCAAAACATAAAAGCAAGTCCACATCAGAATGGCTGAAAAGAAGCAAAAGGAAAGTTTTGGAGTGGCCTAGTCAAAGTCCAGACCTAAGCCCAATAGAGGTGCTGTGGCAGGACCTGACACAAGCAGTTGATGCTCAAAAACCTACCAATGTTTCTGGATTAAAGCAGTTCCACGAAGAAAAGTGGGCTAAAATTCTTCCACAGCAATGTGAAAGACTGATGTTGAATTATACCAAAGCGTTTGGTTGCAACCAGTTATTACGTTTAATTACTTTTTCACATGGGGGATATGGGTGTTGGATAACTTTGTTTATTAAATACAAGAAATAATAAAAAAAGTGTTATTTGTTCACTCAGGTTCCCTTTATCTAATATTAGATTTTGTCTAAAGATCTGAAAACATCCAGTGTGACAAATATGCAATAATAGAGGAAATCAGGAAGGGTGCAAATACTTATTCATGGCACTGTAGTTATAGGCGTCAGTTTTAGTAATTAGGATGTTTACGACTATACATAAAACTTAATTTCACTGGAAACTGCAAAGTCTGTGATATTTTAATTATAAAGTGCTTGAGTTGCACTTAGGATTTTTGGTAAGACAGTAACAACAAATTTCAAGTAATACTTTATTTGTGATTTTAAAAAGTGGTACTTGAACATGAGTAGATTAAAAAAAATGATTAAAGCAACATGTTCACCTAAAGGCTTTTCAGATGGATCTAAAACTAATGCATACAATAAAGAAAGGGCTACTTGAACAGAAGCAAGCATGAAATTTACTAATAAAATGAGTTAACTTAAAAATAGTGTAAAACACTTTCAGGGATCAATCCCTTATTCCCATATTCTTTTTGTTTGTATATGACAAAGAAAATATACTGTAATAATATCCAAATTCAGCTACTATATTAAACACTACTTTGAACAGCTGAATCCATCATAATTACATTTCATTTTTAGACATTTTCACAGTCTGCATTTGTCAAGTTTTATCATTTTGAAACCAGCAGCTTTCGTTAAGGCATTCAAGCTTTTGTGTCTTCAACCAGTGTTTCAGCAGGTGATAGATGGAAAATAAAAAGTTTCCATTAGAAAAGGGTCCACACGTGTATAATACAGTCCAATAAACTGTATTATGTACCCATTAAGAGACACTGAACTCACATTTTTGCCAACACTTTCAAAACATTACTGTAGTCCCTTAAGGCAAATACACATTGCTAAACAGTTAAGACTTTCTTAGCTTACAAGTGAATATGAAAAAAACTATTGCCACTTTTGAACTTCAGTGATTCGTACAAAAGTCACTATGTGATCACTCAGGAATTTCCAGAATTGACACTTGCCGTTTTTCCAGGTACTTGTTAATGGTAGCCATCTTTTCTGTGCTGAAATTATTGTCCCAATTACACTGCTCCAAAAGAGATATGGGTCTGCCAAACAAATGCTGTGCCGATTACCAACCAGCTATACAGCTATTCAAAAAACGAATAATAGGTACAATGCATTCAATTTTAGTTTTGAAGATAAATGAACAACTCATCCATATTCATGATCTTAATGTGTTCTGTGCTTACATGCATTTCTGAAGTGAAAAGCCAAGTAACAAATAGTAATAGCAATAATAAAATACCAGAACATTTCAAGAATTTCAAAAGTTCTGAAAGCACATGATCATTTTTCATTTTCAGTTTATGAGTGGGATTTCTTCAATTATGTTTAATAGACGGATATTAACTACATGTATAGTATCCTTTTATTAATGAGTAGTAACTCCTTGCACTTAACATTTGCTCCTTGAAGGGTGTGAGCCCGAAATTAACAAGTGAAGATAAACATATGTACAAATGAAGTACCAAGTAGGACCAAATAAAAAGCTGGCTTTTGGTGGTAAATGATGAATTTGGCTGAACAATCACAATGTGCAGTTCTGTCTCACAGCTCTGAGAACTAAAAAAAATGGGCATGATAAAAAGTAAAAATATTACCTTAAATTAGCCCTATATAATTTTTTACATTTAAGCATTTTCAAAAAGATCTCAACTTGCACTCGAAGATATCCATTACAGAAATAACCATAATGCCCCCTAAAATCAGACATAGACTTGTAAGGTCATTTAGCACACCAACACACTTACATTTGTAAACTTAAGCTCTCTTTTATGGACAGAATAATAGAACAGAAATCTATTGCTGAAGGTACTGCTAAAATATGGTGTGCAAAAAAGGGAACAACCACCAACCACTTGCCACTTAAACATTTATATTTATATGATCAATCAACTTTCCACAATCACACCTCCACTTTCAAGGAATCCACTACTTTAACCCTGTGAACACTCTGGGACTCTTCAAGGAAGTCAGGATCGGCATATAGCAAGTTTATAGCTTTTTTATGAGCTTTGTCTGATTTCATACCGATTGTACCCAGCAGTTAAGTTTTGGTTCATAAGGTACATCAGTTCTTTCTGTTTCAAGCATAACAGCCATAAAGGCCACACACATTAATAGAGTGCCTTAAAGTGGTGGGCTATCAAGATGTATTCCAGCAGCCTACCATTAATTCAAAAGTCTACACATAATTCAGGATAAAAATTGAAATACACATCTTGTCCAGTGGACAAATTGGAGATGGTACCATAAATCCAAGAATGACCAGCCCATACAACGGACCACCATTCATTCTTGAATAATAAAAGTGTGTATTGCTCCCAGGTTAAAGCAGTTTCTGATGCACTGTATTCCATTGCTGCATTTCCTGTTCCATGTGTAACCTAAGATTGATTGTAGGTAGAGTTCTGATTTCCATTGGAACTCTGGTCACTTTCGCTGTGTGGAAAAAAGAAAGGTAGAAGGTTTAAATAAAGTGAGCAGCATAACTGTTCAAATAAAAATCTGTAAAGCCCTAAACATCTCTACAATTCACAAACAAATAATCCTCTTAGAACCACTCAGGTGGTTTGTGTTCACCTGGTAAATATATTATAATTTAAGGAATTCATGTAAATGTCGAGGATAACTTATACAGGATGTGGACTGCTCCCTACACAGAAAGACAGAGTTTTAATAGTACATTTTCATCTATTAAGTCATGAACTATCACATTAAAAAACTTCAACACAGTGAAACCATAATTCCACTAAGCACTGGATGAAACTTCTTACGAAAATGAAAATTACCAGTCTGCACAAAGAAAGCTAACTTGCATCACTAAGACCACAGTATTAGAGATTTTAAATGATCAGAGTGTTGTAGTTTAGCAAATTGCTTACTTTCAAATTAACATATCTGAATATCAAAATGAGTTACAAGCATTCTGAAATTCCTGAGACCAAATATCAAGGTTAAATATCACTCATGCTTAATTAAATTTAAAGTGCAATTGACCCTACTTTGCCAAAATGACACCAAACTCTAAAGAGATTGGTTTTTAGTTTCAAAACTGGATAAAATAGCACTATACAATAATACCTGTGCTTTCTAATTTAATATCCAGTTATTTATTTTGTTGTGTTCAGTAATCTTCTATAGTAATTCTGATAATCATTTCAAGAATTATCCAAGCAATATGTATACATTATATGGATCAATAAAATGTGTACCTGTTAGGAGGAGGCTTTGGTTTAGGCATCTTGTTGAGAACTGCAGCCATTTCCTTTCTGTCATCAAAGTTTTTCCACTGGTCATACAACTTCAGAATGACTCTAATGATTTCCAGGATCTATCCAAAGAGTCATTTTAGATAGCTTTAAAACCTGATAACATGTACAACTCAACAAAACCCAATGGATTAATGCAAAATGTAAATTGGTGTGCATTATTATACACTATTCACTATTTTGTAAGATGTAAACTCTAATGACTACAAAGAGAACAGAAAGTTGGAAGCATCAATTTGATAACCAAAAGCCAATCAATAATCACTACACAAAACGTCTATCCCCGTCTCTATGTAAGTGCAGTTTTCAGGATTTATGGAAATTAATGTTTCTATATAGCCTGCCATTGATTTATTATATACAAAATCAAAGCAAATATGTACAAAATATTATTTGGCTTATTAAAATATTACAAATCATAAATGCATACACGAAAAATTGCACTATTACCTTTTCCATGTCAACCGAAAGCTCAGCAAACCACTGTCTTGCATCTTTTTGCTGCACAACACAAGCAACATGTAGGCAAGCTGGAAGGTAAAACATTTCATAAACATCTCTAGCATACGTGCTGGATTGCTTTTCTTTCTGCAATCACAGTTTGAATCCTGCGAAGTTATTCGAACTACATTGCCACAGTTTCATGAGGTGGATTTGTATATTATGCGTTATTCTTTGTCTTACACAAACCTACAAGATTACCACGACATTAATATTGTTAACTGTCCATTTGAACAAAATCATGTTGTGTCTTTCTGAGCCACTACAGATCTGAAAGTACTTCACAATGAAACTCCAAGTGAACTAATAATTTATATACTGAACAGCAATCATTGATGGAATGAAGCTGCACACTGGCATAAAACACTACACTGAGTCTATGGGAACAGCTCAAAGGGCTTTAGTAACAGTTCTAACTACCGCATGATCATATTTTGGTGAACAGAAAAAGAAATCCAAGTCTTACCTAAGGCAATCATAAATGGGGGATACAAAAGACAGAGATCCGTTCTGTAAGTGTCATTCACAATCCTCCTGTATAGGAAAACATCATTGACATAAAATAAAGTAACAATACAAACCTCATTCTAATTAAAATGCACCAGCCACTAATGTATTCCACACACTGTTACAAAGTTCACTATGTTAACTTATGTACAAAGTGAAAAAATGCCTTGACACAAAAAAACAAAATCTGCTTAGTTGCAAACCAGGAAATGAAAAAATCTGACTTCCTCCACTGTTCATGCTAATTGGTGTTCAGTGAAAACAATAGGGGTGTTACCCCGGCATCCTGGCCAAATTTCCCATTGGCCCTTACCAATCAAAGCCTCCTAATAATTCCCATCTATGAATTGGCTTCATCACTCTGCTCTCCTTCCCACTGAGAGCTGGTGTGTTGCGAGAGCACTGGACCACTATGGCTGCCGGTGCATCATTCAGGTGGGGCCGCACATTGGTGGTGGTGGTGGTGAAGGGGAGTCCCCATTACCTGTAAAGTGCTTTGAGTGAAGTGTCCAGAAAAGTGCTATATAAGTGTAAGCAATTATTATTAATTATAAGTTTTAAGAGTATGAGATTCTAACCCTAGTCTACTCATAAATCTTAACTATGACTTAATCTGTTTTATCAAACTATGTACCATGCTAAAGGCAGCAACATGTCCTCTTGCCCCATGTCCTGCACATACTGAAGCAGCGGTCTATAGGGATGGTACACTATTAAACAGCAATCCTGGAAAATATGAAAGTAATGTCAGCCTTTCTTGCACAAAACCAAAGAAATCAAATGTGTACATTACACTTCCCACTTCCTCCTAGGAATCATCAGCTATATTACCTGTGGCAATTTTTTGTCATATATCTCCTGAGGTATACAATTACAAAATTATAAACTTTTAGAAACTTGTTTGTGGCTCATTACTCAGTATTCTAATACGACTAAAACCTCCCATTAAAAACTTATATCTAACATTGAACTCACCATTAGTTCTAATAGATAGAATTCACATTCCAATATCTGTAAAAAAGGTCAAATATAAATATGTAAACATTTGTATCTGTTTTAGGTCAAATATAAATATGTAAACATTTACTGACAGAAAATGCATTAATTAGATGTACATCTTTTAAGAATACATTTCACAAATATTGTATTTAACCATTATATTGTACACTTATTTTAGATTAAATAATATTGTCATAAGATATATGAAAATTAAATTGCTACGATTACAATTCTAGAAACAGAGTCCTTCATTACTGCTTTTTCCATGTATACCGTATATGGACTGTTCTATCAAATTACAAAACATAAAGGTACCTTGGACCAGATTAAAGCTAACAAAATTACGATAAAGATAATGGATCCCATTTGTTCTTGTAGACTGAGTTGTCACATTTCCTCAAGCTTATAAAGTATTATGATTAGGACATTAAGTCAATAATAAGTAACATCACCAAATTACAAGAAAACCTTTATGAAACAAGCCAATAGTTTATGCTTTTTAGAATCCACTTTCATCAAAAGCAGGCTATTATGCTTACATTAATATAGTCCTTAAGTGAACAAACTTAACATATACAAAACAAATATGCAGCGCTTGCAAACGTGAACTGCCATTGAGTATCCAAATAATGTGCAACAGTGCTGAAGCTTTCCCAGTCACTTGTAAATGAGCCTGTTGGAATGTAGCGACTCTATTAGATGCTATTCATGGAACAGCATTTTGAAGCCTAGCAATTAATTTACTTCCAAGTAACACTGAAAAGGCAAATAATCTAGTTTGGTCCCTGAAAACAAAACAAAAATGTCAAAACGTTTTCTAAACTTTGGGATGAGTTTGTTTTATACATCCGTTTCCTACTTTTGAATTTTGGATAGAAGTCTAGTGATGATTACCACTAGGACGTCATTAGATGACTTTGATCTAAAGAGGAGTAATAATCAATCAGGAGATACAAACAGCAGCTGCCACAGCAATTTTAAAAAGGATGAGCATTTGAGTACTGTAAATGTAAAAGCACATGGAGAGGCTAAGTCTTCAAATACTAAATTTTATACAGAACAAATCATAAAGTATTATAGTGAGTTAACTAGGGAGTGTCTCAAAGTGCCTGTGCACTTATCTCCAGATTCAGACACAGGACAATTAATATTTATGAAACCAATGAACCACAAAGTTATTTCATAAGGTTCGGCTGAATCCTGCTGACTACTGATTTTTCAAGGTACAAGCTTCTCAATTTTGTCAACATGCTCAAGCCGTCCTTTTTCTAAAATCAAGGATCAATGAACAATCCAGGGAGGCTGGACTGGGAATTTAGTAGTGCTGAAAATCTCTTATGTAACACTTTGGTATCTCTGTATCAAGGTAACAGAGCAGCAACACAAAGCTAAAAACATTCTTCAAGCCAAATGTAAAAGGGGAAAGGTTTTGATGTTAAAAACACAATACATTTTTTCTTTGTATTACCCTAGATTACAACCATCCCAATTAGTTAAGTATGTTTAAATAAATGTAATGGCTTAATGTTTTTTTACTTTCTTCCTCATTGCATACTTTCATTGTTTGATACTCACATGATTCATTCTGTAAGGAAACTCCTTTGGGAAAGCATATGAAAACCTAGTTTTCACTGCAATTAAAAAAAGAAACATGATTTTAAAGTCATTTTTTAGTTTCCTACAGCACTCATCTTAAAACACCAGGTCAGTAAACCAGCAAAGCTACTGTAAGGAAATATCCTTAAGATTTCCAGCTTATTTAATAACACATGCAACTTGGCGTCAACATCATGACAAGGAAAACTTCACTATCTAGACTGTTTGCTAGCTTAAGAAATTACTTCACTTCTATTCACATTCGATTCCTTTAATCTTCATTTCTTCCTTGACTTAAGACATCACTGCATCTCAGCAATGTTGAAAGTTTAAAGATATAGGAGCATGTTGAGAGCTTCACCTGGAGAACAGAAGAACAGACATAGTTCTTGTTGATACCTCCTAGATTCACAGGCCCCCTGGGCAGTCAAAGGGGTTGTCACATTGATTATGGAAATATCTCAGATGTTTTTTGTGATTTAATACATGGAAGCAGATTCTGTTCTGTTCAGGCTCAGATAATATTAAGCTGGCGAGAGCTGAAGTTACAGCGAAGTCAAGCCGAGATGCTGATTTGCAGTTACATGTGACCTCGGTGCTTCTTTTCTTCAAGCGTCCTCCTCCGGCCCGGGTTTGATGGCTGAAGTGTAATGTTAACCGCCGGAATCAGCCTGTTGTGGCCTCCGTGGCGCTTCAGCGCTCTTGCCGGCCGTGAAGCTGACTCCAGGGATCAGCCCAGGTCCATCTTCTGTGGTAGATCAGCGTGACAACCGTCTGGAGCGAACTGGGCAGAAGAATTCAAGGGCATTATCGAGCAGGCACCTCCGTTCGTTGTTGTTTCTTGTCCTGGCCCGTGAGCCTCCACAGCTCTCCACCCAGCAGAGAATGCTTATCCAAGTCATTGTATCTTGTGTAGTTCCTTCTCCTCCATTTGCGACCCCCCCCCCCCCAACGCAGCTTCCTTCAGATTCAACCAGAGCCAGATTTTAATCCTTTCCACAACTAATCCAATGTACCCAAAGCATCTGGTCACACACTGCCGAGAATCTCTCATTTCCCTTCCAGGGGACAAACTGCCCACCTTCACTGTTCTGCTTCCACTGCTACATTGGCAGACTGGAGCTTCTTCCTCTCGTATGCCTCTTGTCCAGCATCCTCATTATTAACAGTCATAAAGTTACTCAGAGAGCAAGGTGTGTTGAGCTTGACCACATGAAGCAATGACAGGTCATAGGCTTGTAGCGTCGATCTTTGATGAAAATGTAAGGCACTGACATCTGCCTGCATCGTTTTAAGCAACTCAATTTTTCCCCAATGTAAATCCCCTCTATCTATAATAGCTTGCTAGTAGCTTCCTCTCCAGGCCCAATTATGTTTCCCTTTTTCACTCTGATGTTGTCGATACTGGGGAAACACTGACAACCTAATTACGCCACTAGCAGTGCTGCAGCCAAGCGCCAAAGGCACCAAAAAACCTGATCATAACGCCAAGTCTTAATTTTTAGTTCTTGGGGGAAAATGAAATCATATTCAGTCTTTCTTTTCCCCATAATGTTTTAAAACACGGTGATGCTGTTCCTTGGTTCTGATGTCATAGTTACGCAATTAAATGTTTAAACCAATCCATACATTTTCTATAGATAATAGTTGATAAACCTGTTTTACCTTAATTCAAGAAATGTTTTATAAGCTCAAATGGAGAGAATAGAATATCATTAAATGCTAGTCCCCTTTTCACCATATTTTAACCAAGTAAATTCATTAACACATTTCTAAGCAACAATTTTTTTAGTCTATAAACTAAAACCGTGTTTACATTAAAGGAACACTTACATACAGATGTAGCAGCTGAGATCAATCTGGTATTTGAAACAACACCAAATTCCTAGAAGATACAAGCAAAAATAATAAGATGACATCCTGCACACAAGTCCAAAACAAAAAAAATCCAAAAGGACAGGTAGTTTTCTTCCTAAAAAATATAACAGAAAGTAGTAATAATTAACTTTATTATACTGAAATGAACATAAATGCAACAACACTTAATCTTCAGGTCACTTTTGTTAGCAATCTTAAACAAAAACAAACCCTTAGTGAACGACCTGATGTGTTAAAATAGATCTCGTCAGCTTTGTTTCTGAATTGGTAACAGCTGTGCAACAACTTCAAAAGTGCCCAAATTTTAGGGCCTCCCCAAATTTACCAGGCTCAGCTGGTAAAGGCGATAGCAGAGATGGTCTCGCCTCTCCTCCGATCAGCACTGAAGCACTGGTAAGGGATTGAGCTGTCTGGGATATAAGGACCAGTGGCTCGAAGGTGGGCAGTTCAGAGAGGTCTGCCTCCACTTCCTCAATTCACCTGCCGGTGGGTGGTCTCTGCAGGCGGTGGGGGTAGGAGCTACGGGCGTAACCGCATACCCAAAGCAGGTGGGTATAAGAAAAAATACCTGGCGGTTCTAGATGAAAGATGCACAAATTTCTTGGACCCAGGATGTCACAATACATGTGCCTTGTGCACATCCCAGTCCAATAAAAACACTGCGTTCGATGTTCAACTGGGAGAGGCCATGAATGACCAACACAAGGAGAACCCAGACAGTGAGTTCTGGATCACAACAGCAGTTGATTACATGTCGTGTTACCATGCACCTACCAGCTGCTGCTTGTCTGTTAGTGTCAGAATGACCGGCAATGCTACTAATCATCCTCATCCTGGTATACCATGTCACAACAGCACAAAAGGGACCTCAGCATCTGCCTTCAACATCCTCACAGCCAGTTTCAATCAGCCACAGCTACATCAGATACACTCACTGGGACTCGCACAGGTGGATGAGGTCTGGCACACTAAGGTTTGCAATTCTATAGTCCATATCACATCTGAATCGTTTCTCCTCAGGATCACTTCTATACTATACTTTGTACAGTAGTAATAGGAAGTAAATGGAGGTGTTCTTTGTCACAGAAAGCAGATTAAGTCGTTTTTGCTCATGAACTCAGATTTGGTGAGTTTTGCTGATGGCCGATTCCTTATCTCTCAAATCAACCCCAGGAACAGTAATTTACAGAGAACCATGTTAATAAGATCTGTGAAGAGGACAAGGGGTTACAGTGTGGGTGCAATTGATGCTCAGTTCCAATCAGATCTTGTTGTAAAAGAATAGTCTTCTTGTCATCAGTCCTCCTTCCACCATTATTGCTAAATGGCAGACATTCATCTCATTTTGCAACATGACATTGAAGTGTTGGGATAGCCTTCACAATCACCTGGTACCAATACCTGTAGGATGTTTTTTTTCACAGCATATTTTCTTCTCACAATGTCATACTCAATTTTGCTGCAAAACGTACAGAACCACTGGCCACCTCTTCCACAAGCGCTTGTGAAGTACAAGTAATGATAGATCCTGCGTAGAATTTAGGCTTGTGTCCACACCAGTGTCAACTGTGGCCGTGATGTCCCTCTTTGTGTCTTGACAGACTAACCCAAGGAATTTATTTTCATTATTAGCCTTTTGAATTATTCCTTATTATTTACTCAGCACTTATCACCTCACAGGATCTCAAACCATATATCACACATAAGAACGGCGCCATCTTCATCCTCGCTGACATGTAGCACTTACTAAGCGCCAGCAGGCTCACTACACAGCAGATCAGGCAAAGAACTGTGAAATCCCTTCTCCAACTTGATAAAAGAGGAGAGGTTAAGTAGGCCAGATTGTACAAGCCCAGAGTGGAATTTAGCCAAGACACAGGAATTATACAAAAGTGTCATGGGATATTTACTGACCAAGTCAACAAGACCTCAGTATAACATCTTCTCTAAAGGATGGCTCATTCACCACACTCAGACAGACTGATTTCCAGAGCTGCTGTCCTCTTTATCATTTCTGTATACACTGGTGTAAACTCAGTAATATGATAAGAAAACATCAAACCTTCATCTGCTAGGTATATAAATATACTACATAAACCATTGTGGTAATTTTTCATTCTTAATAGCACTTCAATTACATTTACAGATGTCCCCTGAAGTGCAACAAATTGTAAACAATGTGAAAAAAGTAAAACATGTCAAAATACACAAATGTAACAGATTTCCTTTTCATGAAACATTCATTTTTATATTAATGCACACCATGCACAGCACTGTAAGCAAATTATTTCTACAGACCATTTATAACAAATCCCACTTATAACAAATAAAAAGCACACAATAACTCAAACAACCATGACATGCCTTAACTTTGGATTAGTAGGCTGTACCTTTTGTACAGCACACATCACCATATATGAGACATTTAAATCCCTTTTAAAGAGGTGTATAAATTAAAGTATATTTGACTATCTACCAGATACCACTTTTTAGTGTAGATTTTAGATTTAGCTTTTCAGGGCAGAGTGAATTAACGGCAATGGATTTACTAAAACCTATCAATTGGACATTAAAAGGGATGTGCAACAAAATGTATAAAATCATATTACCTCTACTTTGGATGCCAAGAACACACAGGTTGGAGCCATAAGAACAGGATCTATACTTTTGAGTGAGTATCTGTAAAAAAAAGTTGAATTTTTGTTTTTGGGTTTAAAAAAAATTGTTTTTTTTTCTTCCTTGAACTTTTTTTAGGACCAAACTGGTTTTCACGGCCCACCATTTTCGGCTTTTTATTCTGGCCTTTTTTCTTGCAATTTTTTTTTTTTTGGGGGTTCTTTTAGGCTTTTTTGTTTTTTTTCGGTTGGGGGGGTTTCTTTTTCCGGTTGAAGGAGACCTTTTTGGTTTCCAAACTATTCTTTATTTGTTCAAGTCACTGTTTTGGAGAAAGAGTTTCCTTACCTTGCATAAAATCGTTTGAAGTAAACGGTGGCTGTGGCTATAACCTGCTGCCTGAGCTTCAGATGCTCTCCCAAGGCTTGTATCACTGCAGCAGAACAACCAGAGAACTGAATGACATAACGTCTAAGGTGTCTCTCTGCTATTTTAAATAAGTTCCAATTTGGATGAAGGAAGCTCTCTAGGGTTATGAAACTTTTTAGGGACACCCCATCTTTCCTTCTGCTATCAGCGTTTCCAGGGGGTAACAATAAGCTGTAGCCCATCCCCTAGGCATAAGGTGCCAGGCGAGGACTGAGCACACGAATGCTCTCCCTCCCCATGGATGGCAATAATCATTTTGAGATACAATGATATAATCCTAATCAAATATGTAAAGCTGTGAGTTTAAAATGTTCTTGACCTTAAACACGGATGTAACACTGAAACACAGCCCTGCTTTTCAAACCAATTTTTGCCAGTGTTAAAATACATTTCAGAGTTCTGCAATGCTGTCCACACTGCTTGCACCTTAAACGGTATAAAATAAAGCAGAAACCAAAAATCGGCAATAAATGACCCAAAAATGTTTATATTAAAGGACACCAAGTACAACAGCATTTTACATGACAAGATTCAAAATGTACGTTTAAATTAAAGGTTAGATGGGCCGTGATTATAGTGAATGAAGTAGGAATCTCTGTCTCTGTCCACAAACTGTCTCGATGTTATATCAGCTATTCCAAACAATTATTTCAGCGTTAATGCTGTGCAAATACTATTTTTGATTTCACAGGGTATTACTTACACCAGTGGTTCTCAACCTTTTTGGCCAAGGTATCCCCTGGAGGGTCGACCAGGTCTTCAGGTACCCCTCAAGATTATCGTAGGCACAGAACGCCAAGAAAGGGGTGGCTTTCTGGGATTTGTGCACATGTGCATTATAGTGTAATCGCTACTCTTCAAATTTTAAACCAGAAAATGTATTAAGTCTCCAAATTAAAAAATAAAAAAGACTTCCTCTGTGAATCTAATGAGAGACCTGCTGCGACAGATTTTTAGCGATTCTGTGAAATTAGGTGTCAAAGCTGACAATTGATAACAAATGTCTGCTGAAGCGTCAAGTTTCTTTCTCTTTTTTTGATTTTGTGTCACAATATTTGGCAAACCCACATTCACATAAATGTGTTGTCACAAATGGTAAAAGTCTACAAACCGCTTTGCCTGCTATATTAGGGAAAGAGTCTAACAAACTAGCCCAGAACAAAGACCAGCCCCCCTTTCTCCTCACAACAACAGAAATAGGAATATCGTAAATATGCATACATCATTTAGAACCTGAATGATTCCAGAACCAGCTGATAAATCTTTTACTAAAAACTAACCACATAAACATCCGCCATTTTGGATGCGACACCGAGGTACCCCCGGTACATCTCGAGGTACCCCAAGGAGTACTCGTACCCCTGGTTGAGAACCACTGACTTCGACTACTAAGTTTGAAGCTGTATACAATGTGTGTGGATAAGGCTGAAGCACAAATAGAAAAAGATTAAAGCAGAAAGAAAAACAGCAAT